TTCTTAAATACAGAAACTGCTTCCCACCCACTGTCCCTTGGAAATGCAGTTCAAAACAAACTTCTACTATTGCAAGCTTACGAGAACAGTGGGGAGCATGCTGATGAATGGAGAACATATTGTTACTCTGACCTTTCATTACAAAACAAGAAGGGAAAAATGCTTTCAATCATTTTAGTTTTATAAACTGTAAGGCACATAGGGAGTCAAGATATCCCATTGATAAAGTGATGTCTGGGTTTCAACATCAACAGTGTTACTCATTGTAATCTGTTTGTATTACTCATCATTGCTCTAACAGAAGTGCTTAGAAGATGTTTGAATCCTTTCAGATTTTCTTTTTGTGTGTGTGTGCGCTGATTTCTAAGAGAAAGTTCTTGAAGAGAATTAGATTGAAGAGTTGTTGATTGAATAAATATTAATTAGACCAAACTCCAGTCTGCTTTTGATTTAGGTCAAAAGATTCCAAACTCCAAAGCTATATACCTTGGCTGTTTTCATTGCTTTTTTCAGGCAAGTTGCCATTAATTTTTCTTTTTTCTTTAGGAGGGAGAAGCTCTGTGTCTTGTTCTTTTTGTCATATATAGCATTGTATTTATAAGGAAAATAATTTTTAAAAAACACAAAACAAGTTACTGTTGAGTTGACTCTGACTCATGGCCACCTCAAGCGTGTCAGAGTAGAACTGTGCTCCATGGTGTTTTCAATGGCTGTGATCTTTTAGAAGTAGATTGCCGGGCCTTTCTTCTGAGGAGCCTCTGGGTGGACTTGGAACTTCTAACCGTTTAGTTAACAGCCGAGCACATTAATTATTTGCACCACCCAGGGAAACATTAGGGATATTAAGATGGAATCGAAATTGAAGAGTGGTAAATAATTGTATTAGGGGCTCCGATCAGCAGGATTTTGGCCCCCGTAGCCTTTGCTCCCTGGATTTATACTCACTAATGCTACATTACATGGCAAAAGGGACTTTGTAAATACCACAAATAAACCTTAAAATAGGACGATTATTCTGGGTTATCTGGGTAGGCCCAATGTAATCATATGAGCTCTTAAAAGTCAAAGAGATGTGGGAGAAGAAGTCAGAGATTTGAAGCATCAGAAGGACTTGACTGGCCATTCCTGGCTTGAAGCTGAAGGGGGCCACGTGGAAAGTGTGAGGAGGAATGAATTCTGCCAACATCCTGAATGAGCCTAGAAGCAGATATTTTCCAAGTATCCAGAAAGGAGCGCAGCTCTGCCAATACCTCGATTTTGGCCTTGTGAGACCCTGAACAGAGAATCCAGCCATGCTGTGCTGGACTTCTCCCTAGAGAATTGTGAGCTACTACGTGGGTGTTGTTCTTTAGGCCTCTAAGTCTGTGGTGATTAGTTATAGCAGCAATAGAAAACTGATACAGGGGTAGAAGGAGATTCCTAAAGAAACTCTATCATTCACATATCAGAGTTATAACTTGCTAATGTCTCCTCTAGCAATGGGGAATGGCCCATGTCCTTTTCCTTGGGTTTCTCTGGTCTGTTATACCCCTCCAGTCCATGTCTGCCCCTCGTATGCAGTCAGCAAAATTCAAAGTCCACCTCTGCCAGTTGTCACAGCATCCCTATCATTGAATTAGCTGTGACACTCCTCTTTTGTAGATAGGGAAACATGGATAGGATCTGTGACTTGTACCGTCTCACAGTTCAATAATTCTGGAATAAATTCACATGGGACTTAAATGTCTGACTTCTTATGGATTGACACAAAACTGTATGAGTTCAGAGCAATTAACTTGAAAAAGGTAAAGATATTGGTGCCATATTAAATTATCTGTGCCATATTAAAATATGAAGCCCCATTCTCCTCCCACCTTCTCTGCTTCCATTAGTGATGCCATCTAGTGCCTCCCACTGTTCTTCCTGCCAAACAGGCTCAGAGTGTTGGGGTAAATCTTTAATTCATTGTTCTCCTTGACTATAACCCCTTCCTGCTAATTGCTAGTCATGTGGATTCTCCCTCCTGTTGTCTATACGTTCTATAATGACTTTCTACTCTAAAAATACTGCTATTCCTCCCTTCTCTGCTACTGCCCAGATTTCCTTCTTAAAGGAGTGTGCTGAACAGATGTCTCTCTTGAATGTGAACTTCATTGCCTGTTGAATCTTGTTGACATCCCTCACCCTGGCTTTTGGAGCCTGATGTTGTGGGGCCCTAATCAGCCTTGACTCTTGCTCCAGTCAAGTGGATCTTTTCCTTACTCGGCGTGACTGTGCCCCAAGCTTTTGACCCTGGGACTTGCTCATTTTGTTCATTTTTCTGAAAATGCCCACCTCAATTTCTTGCTCTGTCCAAACTTAAAGGCTCATTTTAAATGCCTCTCCTCTGTGGAGCTGTTTCTCATCCTTCCCCTCTGCTCCTCTTCTTATACCGAAACCAGCAAATCTCATCCTAAGCATCCATGGGGTTTGTTGAAAAAACAGGGTATTAAAATGATTTTTTAAAGACTGTGGTTTTATTTTTTGTTGCGTGTTTATTTAATCATATGCTGTTTTGATTTGTTAGAGGTAGGTTACACCTAAGATAGGCACTTGTTAGTATATTTGGGTAAGGAGGGAAGTTTCACCGATATTTGTAATTCAGGAACTATAATGATAGAATTGTTTAGACACTTTCTGCTGGCTGGGCTGATGATCAGTGACTCAGATTTGTTTAGATGATTCACTGTATCTCACTCATAATCTTAATTTAAAATGTTATGTCACATTGTAGGGATTGTAACCAATGTCTCAAAACAATATGTGTATAAATTTTTTAATGAGATATTAACTTGAGCTGTAAACTTTCACCTAGAGCACAATAAAAAAAAAAAAGTTAAATTAACTTTGCATGAGCTTGGAGAAAGATATAGATGGAGAGGGGGATAGAGGGAGTCAGGGTGAAATGGGTGGGGACAGGGTACTGGGGAAGAGAAGAAAGACATTACCATAATTTTAAAATATACATGTATGTATGTAAATGTGTGTGGATAATGTCATGAAAAATATATAATATAAAATTATACCTATATAATTATGCCAAGTTTAATAAACACCTGAACAATGACCCAAAGTGAATATAACTTAAAGATTGTGAATGGGAACTCTGGAGTCATATTGTATGACTGTTGCACACCTGTGACCTTGGGTAAGTTACTTAACTTCTCCAGACTTTAGTTTCCTCATCTGTAAAATGGGGATAACAATAGTACTACCTTTATGGGGTTACATAGGTTTATATATGTAAAGCACGTAGAATAGGATTTGCCTTGGTAAGTGTTAACCTTGGTAATGAGGCTCTTTGGACTATAGATTTGGCAACTGTTGTTTTTTTGCAGTCTTCTCTACCGTACTCAACTCTTTTTTATCTCATTTTGTTGATTTTTCTTCTCAGTCTGTTTTCTCTGTATGTCCTTCTGCTCCTAGTACATCAGTTTGTGTTTTTGAGGCACATTATTGAGGATGCCAAAGAGTTACTTGACACTTCATGCTGGATTCCTCAGTAAATCATTTTCAGAAGCTCATATTTTTTCTGAGTTATTTCTATGCTCATTCTTTCCCTAACTAAAAAGTCTTTTTTTCATAGACTGTATGTGGTTTATTTATTTTCTCCTTAGTCATCTTCAAGAAAGCATTAATTCTGAGGAAGTTTTTAGATGAGGATCAAAATTAGTAATTAATTGAAAAATAGTTAAAGTGAGGAATCATAAATATGTATGTTCTTTTTAGTCATTTTGTATGAACGTAACTCGTATAAGTGTATTTTATTCACTAATCTTTAATTCAGACCTCAGGCCTCATATCTGAATTCTACTGATTTGAGTACTCATTCTGTCTTGCATTAACCCCACCCCATCTAAGATTTCAGGTTTCATTTCTTTAAAGTAAAGCAAGCTGAGTGCAGAATCTCTCTAAATTTTTATAATTTTTTCTACTGTTTCGCAGTTATCACGTTTTGGTAGAAATTCTTTTAGTGACTGTCCAACGCATTGGGCTTAAGTTTTATAGAAATAACATCTCCGTTTTTGTGCTCATATTTTATTGGTTTATGTCATATGTAATTACATAATTATAATAACAAGTCCAACTTGTCGATATAGGATTTGGAATAAACCACACTGACTCTCGTAAGCATCAACTCAGCTAGGAACAAAAGTGAGCAGAGGGTCCCAAAGGGTATTCTAGAGTCATGACTGCTCTGTCATGTGAGTTTTGACTGTGTGATTTACAGAGGGATGGGAAGCATCAGTGAATCCACAGAGTTCATTAAATGGAAGTCAGTTAAGGGAGTTTCAAACATGGCAGTGGTTCGCAAACTCTAGTGGGCATCAGAATCACCTGGAGGGCTTGTTAAAACTCCAATTTCTGGTCTCCTCTGCCAGAGTTTCTGGTTCAATAAGGATTGGGAGCCCACAAATTGCATTTCTATCAAACCCCCACTAATTGCTAATGCTGCTGGTCCAGGGAACACACTCTGAGGACTACTGAACTGCAGCAAATTTCAGTGATGTGCGTGGGGACAGGTCCCTTCCAACATCAGCATGCATATGGCAGAAGGCTGTATTATTTCTCCATTTCTCTCTACCTACCTTCTAGTGGGTATTCCATAATCAGACATTAGGTTTTCTGTTACTCTTGATTCTTAGCGTTGTGTTGAAATTTTTAATCTTTTTTTTTTTTTTTTTTCTTCTTCTTTGTCTACCTAGAAACTTTATATGGAAGTTGTATGGAAAGGATCCACTGGGGATCTTATTCCTTGGACAGGGGTAGAAGTACTAGTTAGCTCTTTCAACCTTGCCGGGCATGCTCCTTCACATAACATGTCCCCCAGCCTCTTCAAAGGAAAAATAGTTATTTCTGTCTGTCAGAAAACTTGTCTTTGGCAATAGCTTGCCAGCTGCAGGGCGGAAAGGCAGTGATGTGGGTGTGTTGTCAGCAAACTGGAGATAGATTATCTGATTGCTCTGTAATCTCCCTTCCAGAACTGGCTGACGGAGCTGGAGATCTTTGCTATCATCTTCTCAGCTGCCATCCATGACTATGAGCATACCGGAACCACCAACAATTTCCACATTCAAACTCGGTGAGGAGGTTGACGTGTTTGGAGAAGAGGCAAGAGGGGGCAGGGATAGAGTTTTACATGTTAGAAAGATATTAGTCACCTTTTTTCTGCGTAGTTCCTCTATTTTGACTTTCTGAAACAAATGAACTTATAAACAAGAGATCAGCCTGGGCAGCTTCAATCAAGACTTCTAGTTTTTGAAGTCATTTGCTTCTAATCCTCATATTTTGTTCAAACCTAACTGTGTCCTTTCCTCTATTCTATCGCTATTTGTTTGTTTATGTGTTATGCATATTCAACCTGTTTCTAAGAGAATGTAGGGCAGTTTACATAAAGGCCCAGATACTAGGTAAAGTAGATGAGTGAGGACTGGTGATGATCGGAGCGTTTCTATTGACATTAACACTAATTAAGCCTTCTTACTCTCTGATCTCTGGGATTCTGGTGAGGTACTCTTCTCATTCTCCTTGATTTCATCTCTGTTCAGTGCTTACTTCCCTCCTTGGCACAGGGTTTGGAGAGCTAGGTTGTCTCATGCAGGCCACTTCCACCACAGGCAGCTTGTGCATCCTCCCTAATGAACTGCAAAGTAAATGCAAACCTTTGTCAGGGATAGTGAATATGGGTTCGGGTGTTCCCTGCTAAACCTCCTGATCCATAATAGATATCACTAATTTTGTATCTTTTTCTTACCAAGCTGTGGATTTATCCTTAATATTCTTCTCAGTATAGAATTCCAGGCAAGCAGTAAACAGCCAATTGTCATTTTCACTTAGTATGAAATCTTACCTATCCTCTCCTGGCTTTAGAAATTTATCTTCTCCTAAGACCACGTTATGGAACTAGAGGGAATCTGACAGTAAGATTAATTGGGTCTTGACATCAGTAGAAGCTAGGGTTTGGGGACAGGTGGTAAGGGAAAGAGAAAGAATGTAGCAGGGAGAGGTGGGCGTGTAACACTAAATAATTACGGATTTCACTTGCAAAAGCAGAGCCTTACTCTAAATAGGTTTGTATTCATTAAATCAATCTACATGTGTTTACTGAACCCAACACTTAATTACAGGTTACACAAAAAAAGACAGTATCATCTGATCCCTGTTTAGAAGGAAGATTTCAATGGAATGGAAGTCAACAAAAGGACTTAAGCTGGGTTCCCTCCAGTTCCCACCTCTTACCTCTTCACATAGAGTAGTCCCAGCAACTGGGAAGCAGCCTTTTGTGGTTCTGTTCCAAGGTCTTTAAATACAAGGAGTTCCATGGAATAACTTGTTTAACGTGTATCTGTGAGTGGAACCTTTGCTCTGAGGACAGAGAACCACGGTGACAGCCCCTACTGAAGGAAAGGAGGAGTAGGAACAGCTGTAGATGGATCTTGGCCAGAGACCAGTATCAAAGACAGTCACAACCCAGAGGAAAATGGCTTAATTACAGGAGTTGGAAAATAGCTTAGTGTCACAAAATACACATCAGTTGATGTCTTATCTACTGAACAGATAGATATGAGTAGATCTTTTCACCGCTGGATTTTCAGGTTTTGTGTTACATCCAAACCAGTTGCTGTTGAGTCAACTCATGGCAACCCTATGTGTGTCAGGGTAGAAATGTGCTCCATAGGGTTTTTGGTGGCTGATTTTTTGGAAGTTGATCACCAGGCCTTTCTCCCAAGGTGCTTCTGGGTAGACTTGAACCCCCCATCTTTTGGTTAGCAGCCGAGTGTGTTACCTGTTTCCACCACTCTGGGATTCTGTTATATCCATAGGAGTAGAATAATTCCAGGGGGTTTGGTTAAGCTTGCTTTGAAATGAAATTTAAACATTGGCCTTCTTTAACAAGGCTTTATCCAAAGCATCTTGTTTGTGTGATCCTTGTTCAGAAAACTAAGTTTGTGACAATGTCCTTTTGTTCTTTGAGTGACAAAGTGTTAAGCCTAACACTTTAAAGGTGTGCTGCGTACATCCCAAAGTTTGGCCAGTGACAGACGGAAGTTGTCTTGGGGAGCAGTGGCCCAACTGGCAGATGTTGCTTCATCGCAGCTCTGCCACTTGCCCACTTATGGGGCTTTAAGAAGTCATTTTACATTTCTGGGACTCGGTTTCCTTGTTGAGAAACAAATAAGCTCTAATAATCTAAGATTTCATTAAGGATATTAAAATAGTATACAGTCCTGTGCTTAGTGACATTTAGTTGCACAATGGTCTTTGAGAAAGTGACTGACAATTGCCTTATATGATGCTCATATTCTTAACTGTCAATTTTCCACATCTGGCTTTTGCATGGCAAAATTTTAAGATCAAGCTACTACCAGAGGCAGCTTGCAGACTGTACCCACCAGGTGCTATGTGTTCAGAGAAGTACAACTAAAATAAATGAAAAAATAAATCAATTGAAGAAAATAAAAATCAAAAGTTAAAGATGTTTCAGAAAATACAAGGAAGTTTGATGTTACCCACATTTTTTAAAAAATCACCTTTGCAGCTGGTTCAGGTAATTGAGATCTGGCTATAAAACAGTTTTCAGAGAATTCTCAGGTTGGATATCACATATTTCACATTAATATATTGACATCAAAATACTCTACATACACGTATTGATAATTGTGTCAAGAAATGTTAGTTTTAGTTTTAGCTTTTTGGTTGATATAAATATGGGGCAAAGATAATTTCCATACATAAGAAAGAGAGGTGGTGCATTCCAGCCTGGGAAAAGTTACCTGAAAAAGCCCAGTTGTTTAACATCCTAAACAATTTTGCTTGGCTTTCCGTGCAGATCTGATCCAGCCATTCTGTATAACGATAGGTCTATACTGGAAAATCACCATTTAAGTGCAGCCTATCGTCTTCTACAAGAGGATGAGGAAATGAATATTTTGATCAACCTTTCAAAGGATGACTGGAGGTAAGGAAGAGACAAGAGAGAGATCTGAAGCCCAGGGAAGAAACTAAGGCGAGATGAAGGATGCTACTTTTGAAGAAACAATACTCTGTTAAAAAATTTTTATGCAGTTTATCTCTCTATAAACCAAAACCCAAAACCAAACCCATTGCCATCGAGTCAATACCGACAGGGTTTCCAAGGCTGTAATCTTTACAGAAGACTGCCACATCTTTCTCCCATGGAGTGGCTGGTGGGTTCAAACCACCAACCTTTCAGTTAGCAACCGAGCACTTTTACCACTGTGCCACCAGGGCTCCTTTCTCACTATATATATTTTTTCTTCCCACAAATACTCAAACATATATAAAGAGAAGCTATAGAATGTTATGATTTAGGTACCAAAAACTTTATTTGGCCATCTTCGTATTGCTTTTCTACTAATAAGCCAGGAAATGGAAACAGTTTGGGTCAAATAATCCAGCATTGGGCCAACAATTCTCAAAAAAGAAAGCGTGAAGAGCCACTTCTAACAGGGTCCAAGTGTAGGCACTTTGGAAACATTTGCTGTATGGTACCTTAGACAACTTACGTTGACTTTATCTTAGCTTCTTAAATCTGAATTTTACCATGTAATATTTGTTTTTCATCATATATTTGGACTTCTTAAAAATCTTTCTAAATATGCTAAGGAAATTATTCTGATACTTTTTAAAAAACAAAGCAAAGCAAAACAAAAAACAGTGTTTAGTACTTCATTCTGTTTTCTAAATCACATTGTATGGCTTTATACTTAGGGACACCTGGGTTTGAATATGAACTCATTTACTTACTAGCTGTATGACACTGGGGACATTATTTAATCTCTTTAAAACTTATTTTTTTCTATAAAATAGATAATAAGCTCTACCATTTAATGTTGTTAGGATTATAATAAACTAGATAATCCATTTAAAATGCTTAGCATATAGCAAGCTTGCAAATCATTGTAAGTTTAAATATAGGTCAAGAAGTTTCAAAAGTTATGGGCAAAATCATTTAAATCCTTACAAAATTCTAAATCTGTGTGACTCAAAGAATGCTTACATTTTAGCTAAATGATCTGCTGTTTATTGAGTGAGTATGTGCTAGCCATTTATGCAAGGATTCAGAGAAATAAGCCACACTGAAGAATGCATCTGAGAAACTGGCTTCTAGTAAGAGTTGGCTAGTAGTTTCCATGCAGCTATAGTTTGTTAAAACACAGGGGGGCATTTGGCTTGGATTTTTATTGGAAAATTCTTGATTCAGCCAGTATCTGGAAAATGCAGAGCATGTCAGTTAATCAATGATGGCCTTCATGAAAAGAGGAACCCTTTGTCCAGTTTAAATGTGTGTAAAGATATAATGAAAGATTTGAATAAGGCAGAGAAGAGTATCACACATATTCAGATGTACTATGGTACTGAAGGATTTGTGTGAGAGCTTGTTTAGATAGCATATGTTCCTGATCTACCAGCAAGTGAATATAGTGCTCCAAAACTGTCATAATTGCCTCTTAATTTAATTTCAAAGCATAAGTATACCACCTCAGTTATCTATATTTTAGTAATGGATTTTGCACCTACTGCGTTTTTGCCTGAAATTTAAGTATATTACACCCACTCCTTACTTATCAACATGCTTAGGTTCCAATGACCAGGTCATTGTGTGAAAAATCGGCATTATACAAAAATGGAGGATGACCACATCAGAACACAAAATGGAAGATGACTACATCATTACATAACTGCCAAATTACATCATTACAGAACTGCCCAGCCAAGTTGACAGATAACCTTAACCATCACACCCAGTGTTGCTCTCACCTCACACCTCGGTGTTTGTTACTGGCAGATGTATGTCGTTAATGTGCAAAATAGTCAGATAGTAGATTTTTTACTGAGACCGTAAATGTGAAATGTTAGATAACAAGATAGTCGATAAGTGAGAAGTAGGCATATTTGTGTTTCAACTCCACTATGATCATAAGCCACATTCATTCTTACAGTCTATTATGGCGCAGCTGGAGTAGGCAGTATCTAAACCCAGGATCTCTTGGAACACACTGGAGCACATGATTACAGCCGTATTAGTTGTTTATCTTTAGTTCTCCATTTTTGTTGCTGGGTATTTGTGAAGTGCTAGTTGTGAATGCATTGAATATTATTTCTAATCAAAACAAGTTATAAAATCGAATGATTCAACAATGAAAAAATAAATGATTCAGCAAAATATTGGCTAATTTAGTGTAGAAAAAGTCAAACTAGCCATTTGTCAATACAGTTTAGTGAAATCTGTTTATATGTTCTCATATACTTTCATTTCTTATTCTGCACTCTATTACCACAACAAAATAGTGAAATATAGCTGAGTTAGAATCATGGAGTATATCAGGAATTGGGATAGCCTAATATAGTGGAAATTTCTTTTCTGTTATGGCCTATAATGCCGTGCTTTGTTTTTACACCTTGTTTTTGTGGGATTCTGTAGGTTAAAAGACTGTAGCTGACGATTCTATTATTTAAGTTACATAGATTTGGTGTTCTACTATATATTTATTCAAGAATAGTTTTTAAAATATTTTGTCATTTTACTATATTTTATTAATTTTTAGGTACAATACATCAAGATGTTGGTATTATCTCATCAATAAAATATTTAGTTATCATTTAGAGTTCTCAGTTAAGCACATTAACCCATAGATAACTTATGTTTAGTATCATATGTCTTTCTAAAAAACAATTTACATACTTATGTATTGACATACAAAAGTGCATTAGACTTTTTAGGATATTTGTAAACAAATGTATTACCAGATATTGATTGCATTTTGTGATGATTAAGGTTCTGTGTCAACATGGCTGGGCCATGATTCTCAGTGGTTTGACAGTTATATAATGATGTAATTTAGAAGTTTTATAATGATGTAGTCATCCTCCATTTTGTGATATAATCACTTCCATGATGTGATCTGATGTGATCAGCCAATCAGTTGTAAAGGGAGTTTCCTTGGGGGTGTTGCCTGCATCCAACATAAATAGATGTTCTGGCAAAGCTCACTGGCTTTCGCTCACTCTGGATCCTGCATCTGGCTCATCATCATCTGACCTCCAGTTCTTGGACTTGAGCCAGTGGTCTGCTGTATTACCTGCTGAATTTGGGATTCATTGGCTTCTGCAACCAGTGAGTCAGCAGCCTGCCATCTTACCTACTGATCTTGGATTCATCAGCCTCCACAGACCATGATCCAGCAGCCCACCATCTGACCTGCCAATCTTGGGTTCTTCAGCCCCTGCAGCTACTTGAGTCAGAAGAAACCTCCAACCTGACGCCTGACCCACAGACTTGGGACTTACCAGCCTCTACAACTGTGTGAGCCATTTCCTTGAGATAAATCTCTCTCTCTCTCCTCTCAATATTTGCTTCACAGGTTTTGCTTCTCTACAGAACCCAACCTAAGACATTTGGTACCTAGAGTGGTTCAAGAGGAAGAAAATTATGAGTTTTCTAAATTGATTCTCAAGTCTGGTTAGTCTTAAAGATGTTGATGACTCTGTTTCCAGTAGTAAACAGGGTACTGCTAATTCGGTGTGAGGTGGCAATAGAAATATACAAAATATCATCATTAATAGATCAAGTATTGGTGAGAAATGAGGTTCTGGGTGATTGCATGTTTGATACTTTTCTACAATTTTGTCAGAATGACAAGTATAGGGAGACTGGTTGGTTGGTCCTGCTTTTACTAGAGAAAGTGGTGAAAGAAAGATGAGCTCAGGGCTTCAAAATCACAGCTGAAGCACTACATAAATGACCTAAAAGTTGCCACTTGTGCCCTCAAAGAAAGCCTTATTTCTTATAGTAACAGAACTGATACTACCAAAAACCAAACCCCAAGTCTTATTATTAGGGTGGCTGAATTACAATGGCAATTGAATTCTCAACCGCAAATGGTGTCTAAAGTTAAAGTTAGAGCACTGATTGAGAAGAATGGGATCCTGAAACTTGGGATGGGAATATATGGGCAGATGATTAGGAAGGTGGGGACACCGAGCCCCTAAATTTCATTGAATAATTCCTGCCAACAGAACCAGCCCCCTCACTCCCATCTGAAGCGATTACTCCATCTTTGTCTGATAAGCCACCTTCTCCAGTGAAACTGTTAGCCCCTCAACCTCAATCTGAGAAGATTAACCCAGCTGTGTCTGAAGAGCATTTGTCTGAGATACCGCCTCGGGCAGCGTCTGAGTCATTGCCTAGGGAGGCATCTGAGTCATTTCCTGGGGCATTGCCTGGGGCAGATGCCTTACAAGATATTGCTGAATGTTCTCAGAATGCATCCCCAGCACGCATTTTTGCTTCTAGACCTATAACTAGACTTAAATCTGAGCAAGCTGGGTGAAATACAAAGTGTGACCCAGGAGGAGGTATGCAACACTCCAAAAAAACTGCTTGACTTTTCTAATATGTATAAACAGAAACCTAGAGAATATGTGTGGGAATGGCTATTAAGGATGTGGGATAATGGTGCAAGGAACCTAAAGTTGAATCAGTCTGAATCTGTTGATATGGGCCCTCTAAGCACAGATTCTTCATTCAGTGTTTCAGCTTGAGGGGTTAGGAGAGGATCTAATAGTTTATTTGGTTGATTCACTGGAGCATGGATTATGCAGAGGCCTATACTAAATCAAATTGAAGTACCAGACCTGCCTTGGTATACTGTAGAAGAAGATATCTAAAGGCTTAGGGAAATTGGCATATTAGACTGGATTTATCAGGTTAGACCCACAGACCCACACATGGAGTGACCAGAGGACACACCTTTCACTGCAATGGTGAGGAACAAATTTGTGAAGGGAGCCCCAGCATCCTTGAAGACTGCTGTGATTGCTATTTTATGTAAGTCAGATTTGACAGTGGGAACTGCCTTAACTGAATTAAGACACCTTACTACAGTGGAGCTGATTGGACTCCATGCTGGTAAGGGCCAAGTGGCAGTGCTCAAC